CGTCCTATATTGGAATATTGTTCTTCGGTTTGGAGCCCACAATACCAAGTCCACATTGACCGTATAGAATCGGTACAAAAAAAAGTTCTCCTTTTTGCCCTTCGTAGTTTGAACTGGGATCAAAACGTAAGGCTACCTTCCTACCAGAGTAGATTATTATTGCTTAATTTACCGACACTTGCAAATCGTAGAAAAATGCTTGGTACCATTTTTATACCCTTGTAGAGGGTATTATAATTTCAGTCAGATGTTTGCAACGCAGTGAAGGAGACGTTTCCGACCACATAAAGTATATATATTCTTGATCAGCACCAATAGCCGAGTCTATCTAGCCATGTCCGTCTGTCCGTCTGTCCGTCTGTCCGTCTGTCCGTCTGTCTGTCTGTCCGTTTCTATGCGAACTAGTCTCTCAGTTTTAAAGCTATCGCGATGAAACTTTCCCGAAGGTCTTCTTTCTATTGCAGGTAGTACATATGTCGGAGCCAGCCGGATCGGACCACTATATCTTAAGGCTCCCAAACAAATATAAGAAAATTCATTGTAACTTTGTAGGAAGTAGGCGTTTTGATTCTTGACTACTTAAAAACAAAATTGAAATAAATCGAAACGCTGAATCTGGAATCCCTGGAACTGCACCGAGTGAGTATTCTTTTATCTACAAGGGTATATAAGCTTCGGCTGGCCGAAGGTAGCTTCCTTTCTTGTTATGCATAATCTTATAAGAGGTGATATTGATTCTGTAGAGCTTGTTAGCCGCCTAACTTTTAATGTTCCCGTTAGACTAACACGTAATTATCATCCTCTTAATTTACCTCGATGTACATCAAATTTTGGTCTGCACGAGCTCTTTCGCGTTCTATGTAATAACTATAATGTTCTTTATCATTTAATTTGCACATCAACTTCTATCCCGGTATTAAAAACTAACATTTTAACTCATTTGCTTCACTCCTAACTGCATGTTTTTTTTTTTCATTATTGGTCCCGTCTTTATGGGTTTGATGTATTCTTCCTCGCGAACTCGCATTTTTGCCCAAATTTACAAAAGGGCCCCGCGCGTAACAAGCACGTGCTTGGTGTCGTTGGGCCACTTGTTTGTACTTCTCGTAGTGCATCAACGTCCATCATATATATCTTTTTTTCTTGTGATCAAAATAAAAATGCCTGATACGGAAAACTCGGTTCGGGCTCAAAATGAATCCACAAGTGACGTTGCGGCAAATTAACTCGATGAAATTTTATTTAAACCCTGAGGCGATTAATCAGTTTGACGAAGCTGATTTGCTAGCGCGAATGGAATGGATCAATTCCGTAAACCAGGCATTTGATTCTGCGCAGACATCGTTGGAAAGACTGGATTTTGCAGAGATCTCGAGCGACCATCGGATTGAATTTGCCGAGGCTTTCATGGATGTGAAGGCGAAACTAAATCGAGGCTTGGCTGCTCATCGCAAGTCGCAATTGCCGGCTTCAAACGTTGCAAACTTAACATCTATTGATCTCACTAATAATGCGGATCTCTCTTTTCGATCTAGGAAGCCCCGGTTTCCAAATATGGAAATTCCTCGTTTTCATGGATCCTACTCTGAGTGGCCCGAATTTCTTGCGACTTTCAATACGGTCATCGGAAATGATGATGAGCTAAGTGACATTGAAAAACTACAATATTTGCGTTCGAGTTTGGGCGGCGTGGCCCTGGAAACCATACGCTCGCTCGAACCCTCGAATGCTAATTACAAAGAGGCTATGAATTTGCTGGTTAATCGATTTGATAATAATGTTTTACACTTTCAGGCACACGTTCAGGCAATATTTGGTTTAAAGGGTGTCGAGAAGGGATCGTCGAAGGGTCTTCGGGAGCTCAGTGATTGCATGAATTCACATCTGCGAGCAATTCGAACCCTGGCCACTACGCAACAAATTTTGGATGGACTTTTAATTCACATCGTCACTCGGAAACTGGATCAGAGGACGCGGGAAAAATGGAAAGATGATTTATCAATAACTGAGCTGTCCACCTGGGATGCTATGGAGTCGTTTTTGGAAAAGAGATGCAGGATGATGGAAAACTTGGATCACGCCTTGGTAACCCAAACACCAGGCCAGCAGGTGGGAAAAAACTTGCACAAATATAACCAAAATGCACTTATTGCTGCTGCTACTAACTCAAATCATTTGATATGTTTATTTTGCGATGCACGGGATCATTATTTGCCAAAGTGTTCTCGATTTTTAAATTTGAGTCCGAATCTTCGATATAGAGAAGCAAAGAAGTTGCACCTTTGCCTCAACTGTTTGCGCAAGGGACATAGTTTGCAGCAATGCAAGTCGACTCATTGCAAATATTGTCGTATGAAGCACCATTCATTATTACACATGAACCATGACCCATCCGCAACATCCGCCTCATTTTCATCTCCATCCATCCTCGAGCTCTCAGCCATTGCCATCTACGTCATCAGCATTAGTATCATGTTCGCATACATTATCGCATCCTAATCGTCATGTACTAAGCCCTCCACCCAAAACCTCAAATATTTTGCCGATCGACTACGTGTTGCTTCCAACTGCTATTATCTACGTTAGGAATAGAATTGGAGCATTTATGCCTTGCCGAGCAATTTTAGATTCGGCTTCCCAGCTTAACTTCATAACCTCTCGTTTAGCTAGCCAACTAAATTTGAATCATAGAAGATCGCAAACCTCGATTTCTGGGATAGGAGAATCTTCCATGATCTCTGATAAGACTGTCGACATTCTTGCGCAATCACGGGATGCAAGCTATCGTGCGGCATTCACAGCGGTTGTGACTTACAGGATTACTGATTATCAGCCCCATTTCAGTATAAATGCAGTATCATGGAGGATACCGCAAAACATTTCGCTCGCGGATCCTCATTTCAATCAATCACAACGAATTGACCTTTTACTTGGCGCTGGGTTGTTTTTCGAAATAATTTCTACGGGACAAATTCATTTGGATAGGGCTTTGCCAACTCTTCAGAACACCAAACTTGGTTGGATAGTCTCTGGAGGGTTATCATCGAGTATGCCAACTCATAAATCAGTTTTGCAAGCCAGCATCAAGGACCCAGCTGACCATTCCGATGACACACTTGCCGCCATAGTAAAGCGTTTTTGGGAAATTGAGGACTTCACTTCGTCTAAGCCATCTTTATTGCCGGAAGACTTGCGTTGTAAACAGCTTTTTACTGAAAATTTCACTAGGCTTGGAAACGGCCAATACTCTGTTCGTCTCTGGTCCACTTCCGGATTTGAATCTCTAGGTGATTCTTATTGCCTGGCTCGTCGTCGCTTCAAGAGTTTGGAAGCTAAACTAGATAGAAACCCAGCCCTGAAAGCTCAATACTCAGCATTTTTGAAGGAGTATATTGATTTAGGTCACATGTCTCTTGTAGCAAAGGAACCGTCAGAAACACAATTCTTTTTGCCCCACCATTGCGTACATAAGCAGGAGAGCACGACTACGAAGCTTCGCGTCGTTTTTGATGGATCTGCCAAGTCAACCTCTGGTAGCTCTCTGAACGACTTACTTCTGGCAGGACCAACAATTCAACAAAAAATCTTCAATATACTGCTTCGCTTTCGATTTTTTAAAGTTGCCCTTTGTGGAGATATCTGCAAGATGTACCGTTGCGTGCGTCTTTCGTACCCGGATGACTTTTTGCAGTGCATTGTTTGGAGAGAGAACTCCAGAGAAGAGTTGAGCGTTTTTAAATTGAACACGGTGACCTATGGAACCAAGCCAGCTGCCTTCTTGGCTATAAGGGCCATGCATTAACTCTCTTACGATGAAGAGGAATCATTTCCTATTGGATCAAAATTTGTTCGTAGAGATTTCTATGTGGATGATTTAATATCTGGTGGGGACTCAGTTGAAGAGGTGAGAGAAATTCGTCGTCAGGTGAAGGAACTACTGTCGCGAGGCCACTTTCCAATCCGCAAATGGTGTTCGAATGAGTCATCAGCCCTGTAAGGAGAGTCTGAATGCGACAAGGAGCAGCTAATCAAATTTCACGATGGATCGGATGTCGCCAAGGCATTGGGACTAGTCTGGGATCCATCTTCTGATCAACTCCTATTTAATTTTTTTAATTTTTTATTGGCTGAGCTAATAGTAAACGTCAAGGAAGCCATAGATTTCGATTGCACCTTTCATTGCTGGTCGGACTCGTCTATTGTGTTGGCGTGGATTCGGCAACCTCCGAGGGAGTTTAATGTTTTCGTATCAAATAGAATCGCGAAAATTCAGGAGATGATGAAAGTAATGACTTGGCATCACGTTCCTACAAACTTGAATCCGGCAGACGTCGTATCGCGAGGATGTACCCCGAGAGAATTGTTGGAACATTCTCTTTGGGCTAACGGGCCTCCATTCCTTCTGCAAAGTTCGTCGAATTGGCCGTCCCTGCTAGACTCTGTAAAGGATCTTCCAGAGCGCCGTTCTGTGGCGCTGATTGGGACCGTTTGCATAGACAGTTTATCAAACTGCAAATTCCTCAACTCTTTCGATAAGTTGCAGCGCGTATTTGCATACATTTATCGGTTCATTTCAAACTGCAGGGCCAAATCTGCGCCGTTAAAAGGTCATCTTTCGGTAGAGGAGATCAACTCTGGGACTGTACTTCTTTTAAGGGGCATTCAACAGGTTAACTTGCCGAAGGAGTACGTATCTCTTTGCCAGGGCAAGCCCTTTCCACAGAAAAGCAAGCTGGTCTCACATAGACCTGTACTCGGCTCCGATGGGTTACTTCGCGTTGGTGGAAGGCTGCAGAACTCAAACTTGGACTATGATACGAGGCATCCGATACTGTTGCCCAAGGATCATCCAGTCACCAAGGCGATCATTGTTTACTATCATGAGAAATATTTGCATGCAGGATCGCAGGCGCTGCTTATCATTACGGCAAAGGTACTGGCCGATTGGAGGCCGCAAATTCGTCGCCAGCGTTATCAACAAATGTGTCCGATGTTTTAGAATGAAGCCTGTTACTTGGGAGCACGTCATGGGTAGCCTGCCAGCAAATAGAGTGCAGCCCAATCCGGCCTTTCATACCACAGGAGTGGACTGTTGTGGGCCATTCTATCATAAGGCAGAGGTCAGAAATAAGGCACCCCACAAGTGCTATATCGCCGTCTTTGTCTGCTTTTCCACGAAGGCCGCTCATTTGGAAGTGGTCCAGGATCTCACTACGGATTCTTTCATCGCAGCGCTGAGGAGATTCATCAGCCTAAGAGGCAGTCCTCGTACCATTTGGAGCGACAATGCTACCAACTTTGTCGGTGCAAAGAGCGAGCTTGCCGAGCTGAAAGAGCTCTTTTTGAGCGAGCAGCACACAAGATCAATATCTTCAGTCTGCTTAGCCGATGGGATCGATTGGAAGTTCATCCCTCCGCGTGCCCCGCACTTCGGTGGCTTATGGGAGGCTGCTGTGAAATCAGCTAAATTTCACTTCTACAGAGTCGTCGGTGCATCCATCTTAGCCATCGATGAATTAAGAACTCTTGCATATGAGATTTCTGCCATCCTTAACTCACGTCCACTCTGTCCAATTTCAGAAAATGCTGAAAACCTTGAGGTGCTAACACCGGCGCATTTCCTAAAGGGTTCCAGCTTCACTAAGTTTCCTGAGCCTGACATTACTCATCTTCGCGAAGGCTGCCTCAGCAGATGGCAGCGTGTGACTCAGATGCAGCAACATTTCTGGAAAAGATGGAGCAGTGAGTATTTAACCCTTCTACAAGAGAGAAGCAAGTGGCGCGTCGAAACGTCTAACATCAAGGTTGGAAGTATAGTTTTGCTGAAGGAGGACAACGTTCCACCCTTGAGATGGCAGCTTGGGCGCATCGAGGAAGTCATACCCGGCGGGGACGGAGTCATCAGAGTAGCTATGGTCCGTGTAGCTACGAGTCTGATCAAGCGAGCCGTCGCCAAACTAGCCGTTCTGCCCATCGATTCCGAGATAGTTGGAACCTTACCTCTTCCAACGGGGAGAGTATGTTCGGAGCAGAGCGCCAGCGCCTAGTCATGCGCGCATAGGTGTACGACGGCACCTGCAGCGCTCTTTGCTTATCTTTTGTCGCCGTCTCTCTCATTCTCCTAAAGCTGTCGCTTATCTATTCAGCGACTACTTTGTAGGCCTGCATATATATATTAATAGCGTGGAGCCAACTTTAACACAGTCCGTTTGCCGCTCCGAATAAATGATATACATATAATAGAACCTATTCGTGCGTTTTTATTTATAACTAAAATAAGGGTGGCATATTCGTTGTTTTCCCCACAAACAGGACTAGTTCATCAATTATGGAATAAAGGACATTATAAAAAGTTGAAATGACCGCATCAAGATGAAGACTATCAAGGCAAGACCAATCCACTGAAGATAGGGATCTCGACATTTGCAAATAATTAACATGCCGAAAGCAACGAGTCCGCAATGGGGCCTCAAAGGAATTGGGTACACGAAAAATGCCACTAATGGATAGTTGGAGTGTAGGATGATGAGAGTCCTCAGGAGTGGTCAATGGAGAGGTACGTGTGACAATGGCATCACAAAGGTCAGACACAAAAATAAGATCTAAAAATCTTCCATTCGCATTGGAGATTGAGTTAACTTGACCAAGAGATAAGTCAATAAGACCGTCGACAAAATCATTTTGATCACCAGGAACGAGGGCAATTAGATCGACACAAGGAGACCAGGATAGGTACGGAATATTAAAGTCACCCAATATTATAAGATGGTCTGAGTCAGAGGCATATGAGGAGATATTCTGGATAGCGGAGAGGTGTCGCATAAAGATCGGAGCCTCAGAGCATGGAGGAATATAGGAGCAGGTTACAAATATGTTGCAGTTAGGAAGACATATCTTGACTGACATGAATTCAATATCACCAACATTGGGAATGGATACTACTTGGGATGATATTTCAGACTTTACTGCGGTTAGGACACCACCACCTCGTTTAGAGGGACGGTCACGTCTATAGAGGAAAAAATTATTGGTAAGTATTTCATTATCAGATACCGTGGGATTTAGCCAAGTCTCAGTAAAGGCAATAACGCTGGAATTGAAGGCAGCGCTGTCAGTATGCAATCTAGACAGCTTACTGAGAAGGCCACGGACATTTTGATAATGTAATACAAAATCTAGTTTTTTGGAACTGACGGACTTGTATTTATAGATGGTTCTTTCCGATCAAACTCGTGAACAATCGTATTAACTGGCCATAGTGCAGGATTTAAAGCACGGGAAAAATGTGTATCAGGCAGAATTATTTTAAATGATGAAACTTTTCTTTTGTAAGCAAAATTAAATTTTATAACAACAAAGTTTTCAGGAGAGGCTTGGAGCTCATCGCTTAGGTGACCATTAATTTCGTCAATGGTAGTATCAGGCCTTAGACGAGACACAAAAATGGCCTTCTTTGGCATGATTGCTTGTGGCGCTACAGCTTCGAGGCGTCTACGGTTTACGCCTGCTGGATGACCATTATTAACCGCAGCCAGGAGGGGCCTGCGATTTCTTTTGGAGGAACCAGGACCATTATGTACATTATGTACAACCGACGTTACTTGACCAGAGGATACTGGCGGTGCCGTTATAACGGAGGATACCGACGGTATCGCGTTGGCGGATTGTGGAAGGTTGAACTGTACGGCACCAGGATGAGAGCCAGGGATCAGGAGTTACAAAATTAAGCACTGGAGCAGGAATTGCCAATCTAGTAGGAGACATGGCTGAATCCCTGGTAGGGCATAATAATAAAGGACCCGGCATAGGAGGCACAAGGTTATTTGATGATACGCAGTTTGTATCGATTTCGCTGGCATTGGCAGAAACTAATGAAGCGTACATTAGTGAGCTATTGGAGGAGCCAGGATCCCTCACGGATGAGGGTGGAATAGTAGGAGTAAGATGGTTCATTAATTGGCCAGTTGGAGGAGAAGAAATCTTTTTTGGAGTTTCCTTAATTATTTTTAGCCCTGTCGTGGAACGGATTAACATAACGCTCAAGATTTAGTAAATTTAAATGTAGCGCCAAGTATTTCAGTATTTGTCATCGATGTTGTAAATCGTTAGAGAGATTATATGTAAAGCTAAATGCGGTCACACTAAATGGTGAATTGTAAGCCAGAATCTCCCGCTCAGATTTATTCCGATTGGAGAGATCAAAGAGACTGGGAGGCGAGACTGCGGTATGTAAAACTGATTGTGAAAATAGGTTAAATCTGATATATGTATTTCATACAGAATAAAACATCGTCGTTTGTTTATGCTATTGTTCTACGCTACAAGACTGGCTTTCTTGTTTCGGTGTTGGCTAAGCAACGTTAAAGGCAACTCCCAGGGGATCTCTTTCGGTCGGCGTCATTTCTTTTATTCGCACTCCTTTATCGTGCAATGCCGACTTCACATTCACCCCGGCGGAGCCCCCGAATTGGACAGACGGGAGCTACCGCAACTGCAACTACGACCACCGCGACCACATCATCCGGCACTCCGAAGAATGCGCCGGCCTTATCGGGCGGTGAGCTGCAGCGGCCACGCACTCCAAAGCAACCGGGATTAATCTGGTGGTGCTCCAAAGCTTGATAGATCAGGCCAGGATACGGACACCACAACCGATAAGTTTGCGGCGCTGATGGAGAGGATCGCTACCTTGGAAAGGGAGCTTCAAAAGGCGAGGTCAGGTGAAGGGCAAGATGCAGCCGCGAGGGATCCCGTTAGAAACGGATCAAGCGGTATAGGAGCGAGCGGTGCGGCGAATGCGCCGCCATGTTTGAGCGGAACGCCAGGGCAGAACTTGAGTGGAAATCTGCCGCCATTGTTGAGTGGAAATCTGGCACCGAATTTGGCTGAGTCAGTAACGCCATTTTTACATGAACAGTTGCCGCCATTATTGAGTGGAAACCTGCCGCCACAATCGAGTGGAAATCTGGCAATAGGGCAACAAGTCACACTCAGTACAAACAGTACAACGTTGAGCTATTCCACACCATGCTGCGTGACGGCTACTGTGCAGCCAGCACTAAGCTACATGCAAGCACCGCGGGAACCTCTTCGCAACCTGATGGTACCCCCGCAATCAACTGGTTCATACGGAATAGCTTCGCCGAGCCCGTTAATTGGATGGACGCCGCGCAGACTGCCTGATCTTCCAGAGTTCGAAGGTCAGCCTGAGGAATGGCCAATATTCCAATGCGCGTTCACGGAGACGACGGCGGCGTATAATTGTACTGCGTTGGAGAACAACCAGAGGCTAGTGAAAGCCCTGAAGGGTGAAGCGCGAGCATCTGTCAAGTCGCTGCTTATACACCCGAATAACGTTCAGGCTGTAATGGATCAGCTACGTTTCCGATATGGACGCCCGGAGCAACTGATACGTAGCCAACTGGAAAGCGTGCGAGAGGTGCAGCCGATCCAAGAACACAATATAATAAAGATCGTGCCGTTTGCAACACTGGTCAGCAATCTCGCAGCGTTTCTACAGTCAAGACCGAACGGGGAGCAGCACCTAGGAAATCCTACCTTGATGGAAGAGCTGATCGCCAAGCTACCACTGAGCAAAAGGTTGGATTGGGCCAGGCACGCCGCCGTAATAGGGTGCTACCCAACTGTCGCGCACTTAAGCGAATGGCTAAACGAACTCGCTAAATTAGTGTGCACTATTACGAGCGGCGACAGCAAGGATCCTAAGCGTAGGGTATTGCACGCCAGCACCAGTCAGAAGGATCAGGATCTATTTGAAGATCACCCCAGGAGTTGCCCAATTTGCGAGGAGCAACACACGATCAAGGACTGTAAGGATTTCAACCACGCTACTCCGACTGCCCGTATGGAGTATGTAAGAAAGCATCGGATTTGTTTCTCGTGCCTGGAGAGCGGTCACATGTCCAGGTTCTGCAAGAGAAACGGGAAGTGCAACGTCTACGGATGCCAGATGAGGCATCACTACCTCCTGCATGACTGGGTGGGCAACCCCACACGGCCATCGCAACTCCACGGTCGACCATGGCCAAATGAAAGGAGCGATCGCGGTCGCATGGTACATGCGGGCGCTGACAGGAGGAAGGTGGACACGCAAGTACATCAGCCAGATGATCTGGCCCAGAGAAGTCCGCTTACGGCATCTGCACAGACGCAGGATGCATGGCGCAAGCGGGACGAAGGCCGTCAGCCAAGTGACGGGAGTGGATTGCCACATCGGAACCTAAGTTGCGTCGATCCGGATGGAGGACACTTACTATTCCGTATTTTGCCCGTGACGCTGTTCGGGGAGGATACGCAGCTGGATACCTACGCGCTGTTCGACGAAGGTTCGTCCGTGACCCTGATCGACGAGGAGCTCACTCGAAGCCTAAACCTAAAAGGCGAGAGTCGGCAGCTCAACATTCAATGGTTCGGTGGCAAGTCAGCGAAAGAGAACACAAAAATGGTCAGCCTCCAGATTAGTGGAGTGGGCAGACCGAAACGCCATGCTTTGAAAAATGTGTATGCGGTCTCTAACCTCAATCTTCCGATGCAAAGTCTGCGTCGGGAAGATGTCAAAGCGGCGAAGGCTTCTGCACGCCTGCCTATGAAACCGTATCGTAATGCGGTCCCGAGGATTTTAATTGGACTAGACCATGCGCACCTAGGAATACCTATGCAAAATAGGAGCTTCGGAGCAGGAGGACCCTATGCAGCCGCCACCAAACTAGGATGGGTGGTTTTTGGACCTGTAAGAAGTCAGATGAGTTCACCAATGCAAAGATCGTGCCTCCTAGCCGTCCCACAGTATGATCATCTCGAGAAGATGGTCAGCGACTATTTCGAAATTGAGAATTTCGGAGTGAAGCCGGCGCCACCAGTCGCAGCTAGTGGCGACGCACGGGCTTTGGGAATCCTGAACGAGACGACTAGGCGAGTGGGCGAACGATACCAAACTGGATTGCTGTGGAAAGATGATAAAGTGAGCCTGCCAGACAGCTATAAAATGGCACTCAAAAGACTTGTCGGCATTGAAAGGAAGATGAGACGGGATGACAGCTTTGCACGGGCCTACAAGTCGATCATGGAGGACTACGTCAACAAGGGTTACGCACGACGCCTGGAGCAGCAGGAAGTGGCAGGCGATAACCGGGACAAGATCTGGTACCTGCCGCACTTCGGGGTCGAGAACCCAAACAAGCCCGGAAAAATCCGTCTAGTCTTCGATGCCGCAGCCAAAGTGGGCAATACATCTTTGAACTCGGTTCTACTCAAAGGCCCACAACAGTTCAAGTCTCTGCCAGCCGTGCTCTTCCATTTTCGGGAAGGAGCAGTCGGGGTCTGCGCAGACATAAAGGAGATGTTTCATCAGGTGCTGATACAGCCCCAGGATAGATGCGCCCAGAGATTCCTGTGGAGGAATGGAGATGACCGTCGAGATCCAGATCTGTACGAAATGGTAGTGATGACGTTCGGAGCCGCTTGTTCGCCGTGCTCAGCGCATCATGTGAAGACCATAAACGCTTCAAGATACGCACAAGCAGATCCTCGCGCGGTTCAGGCCATCAATGAGTATCACTATGTAGATGACTACGTGGATAGTTTCTCGGACGAGAAAGAAGCTATCGCTGTATCAGAACGAGTAAGGAAAATTCATGCTGAGGCCGGATTCGATTTGTGCCGCTTCTCATCAAGTTCGGAAAGTGTGGTCAAGGCTTTGAACCCACTAGGATCCAATAAGAACGTTGAATGGAATGAAGCGGAGGAGAAAATATTAGGCATGTACTGGCACCCAGCGACGGATGACTTTAAATTCAGCGTAAAGTACCACAGGGTTCCCAGCAGCGTGATGACCGGAGAACGTGCACCCACCAAGAGAGAATTCCTAAGTCTGGTTATGTCAACATTTGACCCGATAGGATTCTTGAGCTGCTTCATGGTAACCGCCAAATTATTGATGCGTGAGATTTGGCGGAGAGGAGTTCAGTGGGACGAGCCGTTGCCGGATGAGTTAGCCAAAGCGTTTGAAAGCTGGAGGCTGGAAATGGATTACGTGAGAGATTTCCGCTGTCCACGCTACTACTTTGGCACGGGATGCGTACGTGAACTGCAGCTACATGTGTTTGTGGACTCCAGCCAATCGGCGTTCGCAGCAGTTGCATTCTGGAGGGCGACTTATGACAACAATGATGTGCGGTCCTATTTCGTGTGTTCCAAAACGAAATGCGCCCCGATGAAGACGATGACGATCCCGCGCCTGGAGCTCCAAGCAGCTGTATTAGGAACCAGGCTGATGGACACCGTAAGACGAGAGCACGACGTATCGATCAGCAGATGCGTGCTATGGACTGACTCTAAGACCGTGCTACACTGGATAAGCAGCACCCACCGGCGGTATAAGCAGTTCGTTGGAAACCGGGTGGCGGAGATCTTAGAGTCAACGGAGGTGTCTCAATGGAGGTGGATACCGTCTGCCGAAAACGTGGCAGATGACGCGACGAGGCCACAGCGCCATGTGGACCTTAGCCAAGGGGCAAGGTGGATGAGCGGGCCATCATTTCTGCGGGAGTCGGAAGAACAGTGGCCCAAGCCATCTCCAAGTGATCGCGACAGTCCACACTCCGCAGAAGAAGAGATGCCGTGTGAGTTTACACTGGTAATTGCCAACGAGTTTATATCTTTGCAGAGATTTTCGAATTATAATCGATTGGTCAGGACCACAGCGTGGATCCTCAGGTTCATACGACGGTGCCGTGGATTGAGTGACGAGAGTGAGGCCTACGGTATTACAGCTACTGAGTGCGCGGAGGCAGAACGGAAACTGATCCAGCGCGCCCAGGCTGATACGTTTGCAGATGAAGTTCAAGGAAAGGCAGTGGCGAAAGGCAGTCAGTTACGAGGACTATCCCCTTACGTCGACCACGATGGAATCATACGAGCGTGTGGACGGATTGATGCCGCCGAATGCGTCCCATTCAACGCCCGGCGCCCGATCATACTGTCGCACAAACACGCACTGGCGGAGATGATAGTTCGTCACTACCACAGGAAGATGAAGCACCAGAATCTAGACGCGACCATAAGCGAGATCCGGACCAGGTTCTGGATAACCAATTTAAGGAGAGTTTTACGGAGTGTTATGGCGACCTGTAACGTATGCAAACTCCGGAGAGTACGACCAATTCCGCCATTAATGGGTCCGTTGCCAGAGGACCGGCTGGAGCCGAATGGATGGCCATTCAAGTATACTGGCTTGGACTACTTTGGTCCGCTGTTTGTGACGATTGGACGTCGCACTGAGAAGAGGTGGGTCGCACTCTTTACTTGTCTAACCACCAGGGCTGTCCACCTGGAGATAGCCCACGATTTGTCAACAGATTCCTGCATCATCGCTATGAGGAATTTTATGTGCCGCCGTGGACCGGTGGTCAGATTGAGGAGCGACAATGGAAAGAACTTTATTGGAGCAGATCGTGAGGCCAGAAAGTTCGATGAAGTCTTCGAACCAGAAAAGATCCAGGATGAGCTGTCATCCAAAGGAATCGAATGGATCTTTAACTGTCCCGCGAACCCAGCTGCCGGCGGCATCTGGGAAAGGATGGTCCAATGTGTGAAGAAGGTGCTCGCGCATACTGTGAAGGAGGTGGCTCCTAAAGAACACGTCTTGGAGAGCTTTCTTATTGGGGCGGAGAATATTGTTAATTCTCGTCCGCTTACCCACCTTCCAGTCACTGTGGATCACGAGGCACCGCTAACGCCCAACGATCTGCTAAGAGGAGTGGCTAATGTTCCGGACCTTCCTGGGGATCGCGGAGAGCAGCCTGTCAAGTGCGCTTCTAGGAAGCAGTGGCGTATCGCACGGATGATGAGAGACAGATTTTGGAAACGTTGGGTACATGAGTATCTACCAACGCTTGTTCGCAGGGAGAAATGGTGCGAGCATGTCGAGCCTATGCGCCCAGGGAATCTCGTGTACATCTGTGATCCGGCCATCCCTCGTCGAGAATGGAGGAAAGGCGTCGTGGAGGAAGTGTACCCAGGAGCGGATGGAGTACCACGACGAGAGGCGGTGCGCACTACCAATGGCGATCGAGCTAAGTTAATCATGCGTCCCATCTCCAGATTGGCTATTCTGGATGTGGTGAATGCAGTTGCTTCACCGGGGTGGGGATGTCGTGGAACGGATTAACATAACGCTCAAGATTTAGTAAATTTAAATGTAGCGCCAAGTATTTCAGTATTTGTCATCGATGTTGTAAATCGTTAGAGAGATTATATGTAAAGCTAAATGCGGTCACACTAAATGGTGAATTGTAAGCCAGAATCTCCCGCTCAGATTTATTCCGATTGGAGAGATCAAAGAGACTGGGAGGCGAGACTGCGGTATGTAAAACTGATTGTGAAAATAGGTTAAATCTGATATATGTATTTCATACAGAATAAAACATTGTCGTTTGTTTATGCTATTGTTCTACGCTACAAGACTGGCTTTCTTGTTTCGGTGTTGGCTAAGCAACGTTAAAGGCAACTCCCAGGGGATCTCTTTCGGTCGGCGTCAAGCCCATTAAACTGGGACTCAACGGCTATCAGCTTCTCGTGAAGGTGACTAAAAAGCTTTTTGATCTCCCTGAAGCCAGTCCGAGTTTGCCGCATGAAGGAACGCATCTCGTCCGTAATCTCACGGCACGCGGAGCAGGTCCAAAGAAATCCAATTCTTTTGGAAATAAGATCACCAATACGACCATATACGCCGACACCGGCGCACTTACAATGCGCAGTATTCTCACATAGCCAGCACAACAAATAAGTTTCGCCAGCAATAACGCCGTTGAACTCGCATTTTTTGGCTGAGCAGGATAGACTCATTTTTGAATGCACTCAGGTCACTGTGCAGAGCAAAGTAAGAGCGGCGAAAGATTAAGGCAACGCTTGGAGAGCAGCGGAATAAAGAGCAGTAAGCTAAAACGTTCGTAAGAGCGTAAGTTAGCAGGAGGGCTTGCACTGATCGGTGAGTTTAGGCGACACGCACAAAGCCGAGAGCGGGAAAAGTGCCGTTAGAGTGGTAACGGACCGGCAGCTTTGAGAGGCGTACAGCAGGAGAGCGGGAGAATAGAAACAACAACACAATACTTGCTGTGACAAAGCAGACGCTTTGTTATTGTTTGCTGGCTGATGTTTATATTTGGTTTGTTTATAAATTAAACACGTTTATATAAACTGTCCGATCACGGATATGATTATAACAGTAGGAGTTTAGGAACCACAGAACTTGTAGGCTAATTTAGCAATTAAATTTAAAATTTTATCACTCAAATAAACAAAAGATTCTGGAGCAACAGAAAAACACGACCGGCTTATACGAAGGTTGCGACTGTAAATCGTAGGACATATAGTGACTTCAGACGGAATTAAACCAAACCAGAAGAAAATTGAGGTGATTAAAAAATATCAACTTCCAACTATTACCGAAAACTCACAAAAGACTTTGCAAGAATAACAAAACCATTTAACCAACTAAAAGGAAAGAAAAATGTAGAGATTAGCCAGGAGTACAGGAAAAGCTTTGAACCCTGCAAATCGCTATTATGCAACGACCCTATTTTACTATTTTATTTTATTTTATTTATTTGACAACAGACGCGAGTAATTTCGCGTTGGGGGCGACTTTGTCTCAAGGCCCTGTGGGTAGCGATAAACCTATTTGCTATGCGAGTTGTACTTTGAACACTTCAGAAATCAATTATTCAGCAACAGAAAAGGTGATGTTAGCAATAATATGGGCAGTCAAATATTTTAGGCCGTATTTATTTGGGAGAAAGTTCAGTATAATAACGGACCATAGGCCGATAGTTTGGTTAAACAGTGTGAAGGAGCCATCGTCAAAACTGGTGAGATGGAGGTTGCAATTAGCAGAATATGAATATGAAATTACACTTGCCAGAAAAAGTATGCGTACAAATATTTTCCGCAACTTTAGAGCTTAAAAAAACGTCTTAAAAAAATTCGTAAAAATTTTAATTTTTATTTTAATTTTCATTTTAATTTTAACATTTAGTACACATATTAAGCTTTAATTTGACGTAACTTATTAATTTCTAGCACCTTTACTTTTCCTAATATAAACAAAAATGAAAAATATAAATGTAAATAATTCAAACGACAATTTATTTTGAGAAAGAAAGGGCCATTATTTTGTGATTAAATCTGCCTGAATTTTATTTACTATGCAGTTAACATTGATTTGTTAAAAATTTTCCACTTTTTGTTCTCAAAAAAAAACACAAAAAATATCTGAAAAATTACAAAAATACATAAAATATTTCATTCGATTCATTCAATTCGAAATGAATTAGAACAACATTCAATTTATTTCACATAGAATTTAATTAAACAAATCAGAAATTTTATGGCATACTATTATAAAACAAAAATTGAATGATTCATGCAGGGCTCTAAAACCCATTTGACTTGGGTCGTTTGGGCTTGGGTATTTGGGTAAATGGGTCAAATTTTACCCAAACCCAAACGACCCGAAAATTTTGGGGTCAGGTTGGGTAGGTACATTTTTAAAAGAAAGCCTGACCTACTTGACCTGAAATTTGGTTTGGGTACCCAAATAACCCATTTTGTATACCCATGCAGGGCTCTAATTCCGAAATACCCATTGGATGTTATCCACATCGATTTGTATTTCATTAACAACAAAACGATGTTGACATTAATAGACAAACTGACAAAGTTTGCGTCGGCGTTTGAGATTGTACCTACATACTTGTCATTGTACGGCATACCAAAAAAAATTGTATGTTATCAGGGGGCAGAATTTGCTAACAAATTAGTGAAGGAATTTTGTAAACAATACGGTATAGAACTCCACTACACGTCATTTCAGCAGTCATCTAGTAATTCCACAATGGAACGTCTTCATTCAACACTGACTGAAACATATAGGATAATATTGAATGTTCGTAGAAAGAATAGAGGAAGTATTAGCGGAGACCCTATTAGCATACAATAATGCTGTTCATTCAACTACCAAGTTGACGCAATTTGAATTGTTCACGGGAAGGACACACTTATTTAATAAAGCAGTGGAATTTAGGGACGAACATGACTATATCAAAAAATTAAACGAATTTCATGCAACATTATACGATCAAGTAAAAGAAAAGCTGGAACAGGAAAAGAGAAAAAGAACGGAAAGATTGAATAAAGGAAGAAGTGATCCAATCCAACTTAGAAGTGGGGATACGATATTTAGGAAAGAGAACAGAAGGGATAAGACCACGCCAAGGTTTACGAAACACAAAGTACATGAAGATAAGGGGGTAACATTAATCACCGAAAGGCAACAAAAAATACACAAATCTAAAATCAGGAAACTAATAAATACTAATGATTAACTTGTTGTGACCTAATATTTACAGGATGCTGAGGGCAATAACTCAGTCAATCAGGACCCAAACTTTAGAAAATGGACAACTCGTCGCCAAAATAGATTTGGGGGAAGCGAGAATTATTAACACTTATCGTCAAATCACGCAAACTGTCGATTTAACGGATATCTCAGCGACAATTCAACAGTTTAATGACACTGTAGCTCTATTAAAACGGGAAGCGAATAGTGAAACAAAACAAACGCTGAGGATGTTCGATAATAAAATAGGAGAAGTTATTGATAGGATAAGAATAGTTATGCCAATAAAAAGAAGCAGGAGGGGATTAATTAATGGATTAGGTAGCATGGTAAAAACGGTAACAGGCAATATGGATGAAGAGGATCAAAAAAACATAGAAAGAGAATTTCAGGGTATCAGGGTTAAGGAAGATGCGTTTTTAAAGATGTCTAATGACCAAGTAATATTAAATAACAATTTGATAGATAGATTTAACAATATAACTAAATTCATAAATACGGAGCAGCAGGGAATAAATGATTATATTAAGTATGCTCAAAATTCAGTTTATAAGGAGTTGAAAGAGGAAAACGTAGAAATAAAAATCATTCAAAAAATGAATAGGATTAGTTATAATTGAATTGTGTTGGGATACAATAATAATATAGCCGAGAGTATGTTGCTATCAAAATGAAATATCCTTCCGAAATTTATTTTAGGAAAACAGGAGTTAGGACTTATAAGAGACATTTTAGAAAAACGGAATATTACATTGGACTCAGTAGAACCCATGTATTCTGTGTTGAGGACAAGTTCAGAGAGTGTAGGAAATAAGATATACTTTAAAATTAGGATACCCATAGTGGAGATCGATAAGTTTGAATTCGCTAGGTTAGTACTACGTTTATTGATAAATAATATAGTCCTAGTTTTATAGCATTTAGAGAAGAGAAGGTGTACCAATTTAAGGACAAGTGTATAAGAATAAGATTAATTTTTTATTGCGATCAGCCCAATCAGTTTAATAGTTTAATAATATATTAAAAGAAAGAAAACCCACTTTTAATGTGGAAATTATGGAGTTTGAAAGACGAATTTTTGATCCGGGCATGGGCACTTCCATACTGTCGCTCGGGACATTGGCACACCTTTAAAGTGGAAAAAAAAATGGAAAAAAATGGATTTTATTTTTAATAATGGGCTTTCCTTTTCACTCTTCCCAAGCTCTATTTTTTGTAAATATCTTGATTTTGTACCACTTTTAATTCTTAAGATATCGTTAAAAATCTGCCGTGTTCGCTCGGGACAAAAATATAAGTTATTTTCGGGGAAGTTCATTTAACACTAGAATTTAGCGAATTCTGGTGGAATATTTGAATGCGATTTTTTTTAGAATGTTGTCCAAATATGTCGCTGTGAAATGGTTTTGGTTTTACTCAAAAATGGTTTGCCATTTTTGTTTCATACAGTTTCAACCACATTCGCTCTGGACATGTCGCTCGGGACATTTTTTCTTAGCGTTTGGTAAAGTGTATTTCTTTACCTCTATCCCTCAATTACTGGCTGTTTTGCTTTTAACCTAATAGTTTAACATTTAAATGAAGCATTCAGTACAGAAAAATGTCACATATTAGCATTCCTAATGGTTAAATTCACAACTGAAGACGGGTCCAAAATATAACAAAAAAATAGCCAAAAACTGATTTTTGCGTATATTTGTGGGGTTTGTCATAAAAATAATCAAACTATACTCCAAATTTGTAGTTAAGCTCAGTAACCAACTAATTAGAAA